AGTTGCTGTCCTTGAAAAAGCCAATTTGTCCTCCTCCTTTATAATCGTATCTGGGTAGAACTCACCATGCCTATTCTGGTTCTCCAATCTTTAACCAAAAGAATGTTTAGAAAGTAGTCTCGTAGTCAGCGGCAGGTTCCCATACAACGGCATCTCGATATATAATCATCCCTCCACCCTTAAGTAGACCCGGAACTGGGTTTGGTGATGAGTATCCTGTATGTTGCCTATATTCCTCCATATCAGATGTGGTGGCGCATGGTAATTGAGAGTAGAGACAATGTTCTTCATGATGACTTTTTGTAATCAAAAATGGTTCTTTTCGCCACTGTATCGTTTGTATTCAATTAGATTTTTCATAGTTGGATAGTGCTCGAATCGTGACAAGTGTCTTTTTATTTGCACTGACTGCCCTTGAGCAGTGCAAAATTCACCACAGGACCGAAGGTTGTCATGGTTATCCGGTTCATGGTGGAATTGCAGAGAAATCAGCTAGGAATATTAACATTCAGATGTGCTGCAATTCCGTTGACATCCTCGAATGATCTGAGAGAACATTAGCTTGAAATGTCAACTAGCCAGTACATTGCAAAGGTCTTCTAATATGTTATACCCAGGTTGGGTGGAAATAAAAGGCTGTAAAAGACGCGGTCAATAGACATACTCGAGCTCGCCGCAATGTCAAAACGTATTGGTTCTTCCATAACGAAAATCATCAGGTTGGTGGTGTCGACGCCTGATTCCAGAATGACGCCGTCTGACAAGTACAGGAAGAACTCCAAGAGAGCTGAGGCGTTAACATCTCCAACTATCCAGGGTGTCAGTGGTTGGTTTATCAGGTCCAAGAAGATATTTGCCGACATTTCTCATGGAAGAAAGTAAATATTACAGTGAGTATGAAGAATGGGAGGTACACCTGCATACACATGCTCTCTTAAGTTTGGTCTGAATAGGTATATCTGTAGGAAGCAATAAGTAGTGAATCAATGTAGCCACCATAAGCGGCATGAAACTGTCAATCCTTTATGGAGTAAAACCGCGACGGGATATGGGCATCGTGGAATTAATTTTTAGAATGCAAATCAAGAGATTGCAAGAGTTTTAGTTCGTCCCATCGAGAGAAAAAACAACTTAAGTTCCAGGATAGGAGGACCACACCGTGTGTAGATATTTGTACTTTTCCTTCTTACTTTCGGGCGTTGTTCCCCGAAGCGGCGGGAGAATCCACTCCGGAATAAGTTTTCTCCGGTGCACAGTCCTCCATCACAATTAGTGATCGCTCAGAGCTAGTCGCGGGAGTCGACGTAGGTAGGAGGCGAGGGAGATCGGTTGTGACTCCGAGATGAATCGCCGACTGTCATCGTGAAAGTGGAACATTAGTTTAACTTCGGCCGCTATGACACTTCTTTGCTTCTTATACTTGGTGAAGAGTACTATTTTCTCGTCTGGGAGGGGCGATGTCTCCTCTGGGAAGCCCACACCTGAACAAAGTACGCCTGTCACATCCTGTCTGATCACCTGCATCCATTTATGTCCATTGTGGATTCCGACGGACTTGGGCAATTCCAGCAGGGCGATACCAAAACTCATACGCCCAGAATTGCTACAGAGCGGCTCCAGGAACACTCTTCTGAATTTAAAAACTACCACTGGCCACCAAAATCGCCAGAGATAGAACATCAGTGAGCATACCGGGGATGCCTTGCAACGTGCATTCAGAAGAGATCTCCACTTCCTGGCACTCTTACGAGTGACAGCCCTGCAGGATTCATGGTCTCAATTACCCCCAGCACTACTTCAACCATTAGACGAGTCTATGCCTCATCGTGTTGCGGCATTTTTGCGTGCTCGCGGGCCTCTACACGATATTAAGAAGTTGTACCAGATTTTTGGCTCTTCAGTCTATGTGTTTATTCACGTTAATGAAAAATCCTGTTATGGTTGTTTGACATATACGAGTAAATGAGCAATTTTCACAAACACCAATGTAGAACAAATGAACACCATAATATAACTTGATCAGCGACGTACCATATTAACGTTAATATTTCGTTTTAGATCGTTTTGATTTCGGCCGTGTATCATTTGAAACATGTGTATCTAACATTAAAAATAAATTTGACACGATCTTATAGGATCGTTTTTGCGAGAGTAAAGAAGCGAGGAAACAATAATTGTAACGTTTAGAAATTTAATATTAAGTGAGCTATGATTTCTAAATATTACGTGAACTATTTTCGGAAATCAATGTATTCACCTTCAGGATTTTGCATAATAATTTTGTCATGAGAAAGTCGATTATTCCCTGTCTGTAAGTGTAGTTTTTTCGTGTTTGTAAACCCTGTCCGAGTGCCGCTGACAAAACCCCGAAGACGTCACAATCGCTGAATTGCGTGTTTCAAATGCCATGTATACTAAACTTTTATATTGTCTTTACTGCCAAAGTCGCTTCTCGTGGATATATCACGTAAGCACCTACGTACCTTTCAAAATGTGAATATGCCTACATCATTGTGAAATTATCTTAAAAATTTCAATTGTTTTGTGAGAAAATCGAGAACAAAGGAGACTGTTGAAGGTCGTACTTCAACGTGTGGAATTCGGAATAAATGGATGCAGGTGATCAGACAGGATGTTTACGTACGTGTCACTTGTTAGAGTCGTACGTAGATATATCAGGAGTCCCATATCATTCCCCCTGTACTCACCCCATATCATCACAAGGCCTCCGCTAGCTTCAAGAGTCCCTTGTTGACATGCAGGCTCCATGGATTCATGAGGCTGTCACCATACTTCTACACTTTCATCCACTCGAAACAATGTGAAACGTGACTCGTCACACCAGACGTGTTTCCAGTCATCAACATTCCAATATCGGTGCTGACGGGCCCAGGCGAGGCGTGAAGTTTTGTGTCGTGCAGTCATCAATGCCACAAGAGTGCTCCGAGTCGGCTCCGAAATCTCATATTGATAATGTCTCGTTGAATGAATCGTACGCTAACAGTTGTTTATTGCCCAGCATTGAAATCTGCAGCAATTTGCCGAAGGGTTGCACTTCTGTCACGTGTAATGATTCTCGACAGTCGCCATCGGTCCCGTTCTTCCACGATATTTTTGCGGCCGCAGCGACACCAGCTTGATGTTTTACCTGCTTCCCGATATTCACGGTACACTCGTGAATTGGCGTACGGGAAAATGTCATCGCGACCAAGGAGACGATACGCTACATCTCTCTTGAGTCGATTATAACACCACGTTCAAACTCACTTAACTCATAATAATCTGCCATTGTAGCAGCAGTAACCGATCTAACAACTGGGCTAGATTCGGATTGTCTTATATACTAGTTGCCGACCGGTGCGCCGTATTCTGATTGGTTCCAGATCTCTTTATTTCAATACGCATGGCTGTACTAGCTTTTTGGCTCTTCAGTTTATAATAGGCATAAAAGGTGTTACAAATTTATCTCGTTTTGTTATTTTGGTATTCATATTTGTGTTGTCTATAATGTTTTTGAATATTAGAGCGAATTTAATTATAAAGTTGTTGGGATGGGATGGATTAGGACTGGTATTGGTCGGCGTATTATTGACGTTGGGAGGTTGTGAGAAAGTTTCTTGCGCGTTGACCATCCAATTCTCCACCACGAAACAATTTTTCACTCGCGAAATCATTTTCCTAGTGAAATGCGACCAGGGACTACCTAATGTGCTTTTCCTCCTTTTTGCAGTATCCTTTTTCTAACCAGCATAGATGGTATCCAGACACCTGCGCAGTTAGCAATTTCTCAACTTACAAAACAGGAACACAATTATCTGCTGTTGTCTGATTATGGGTCGTTGCTTATGGTTGTTTCATACATTCTAAACATTTGCAAGGATAATTTACACACATTGAAGTTATCTCGAAGAATCTTGAATGCATTAGTGAGCAGGATAAGCTGGTCATGAAAAGTCTATTATTTCTTCAGAAAATTTTCGAAATATTTTCTCTTTTCAAGTAACCATTAAAATAAATTAAACGAAGAAATTGTGAAACTGTAATCCTTTTGTTCTAATCCATAAAAGTAAATTGCATGAAATATTCAACAATGTTCAGTGAATTACATAGAACATGGTTTCTTAATACTATACAATACAATGCAGATACGTTTTACGAACTGTGTAAGTAATACTAGTCATTTTTCTGTTTGTAGCTTTAATTATCATTTTCTTTAAATGTTTGTAGAATCAGTTCATTATTATACTTTTCTTAAACATTCGTTATACATCTTTCTTACGTAAGTATTTGTGAGCCGTTTACGAAATAACTGAATTTCCTTGAAATTAATAAACATGATATATCTCTAAAGCAAAATCTCTGCTTTCTGCTTGCAAATTTTCTCCTCTGCTTTGCAGTAACGTGAATTAAATTCACCAAATATATTGACTTAAAACTGTGGTTCCATGGCATCGTTAGAGACAACACCATTCAGATAAAAACGTTTATAAGATATTGTACGAAAGAAACTTGAAATAAACGTGATAATTCCGAACGTTGGTCATTGCTTATCGCTAATTTTCGAAACTAGAACACTGTACAACGGTAAGTGTTCACAAAAGAAACTTACACGAAACGCGAAGAGCTGAAACATCGCCTAAAACAACAAAAATATAGTCGATGCATCCGACGAACTATGAGCAAAATGGACCGCCGTAAATATAAATACGTGCTCTTCAGTTGTCAGTTTTGCATTTGAATTATTTATAAACAGGCGCAAATGATGTAGCTCAACCATTAAGAACAATTATTCAAACAACTAAGACGAAAAGTTAATTGTGACGTCTAAACACAGACTGTAATAGGAAATATCGCAGTTGTGGAGAGATCAGGAAAAATCAGAAGAGCATAAAGACGTGTACACAAAAGGGGGGACCGCAAACAGTTTGCATAAGAGAGAGGGCGGAGGAACTACAACGAATGCATTGGAGGGCGCACGTTCAGCAGTTTGCTATACTTACATGACCATGGCAGAGTTTTTCATGATGCGCCCGCACGGTCCGAATTGTTGGATGGGCGACGGAGCGTTGAGGGAGCGTGTGCGCCTGCAACAAGAAGGAAAACATTATTTTCTGCAGACGCAACATCTCTTTTCAGTAACAGTTTAAAAAATTGTTAAGGAACAAGCAACTCATACGGCAATTAATAATAAGATAAATAATACATACGTATTATTCACAGAATCACAAGCATATTATTTACATATCACATGCACGTTTTATCTGTACAAAATAGTTATTTCGGAAACGAGTAGTAAAAGTGACAAATTATTTCGCGAGTAGATGTTGAGTCATGTGGCGACAGGTCGACAGCAAAGTAAAACTACGAACAAAATTGCAGCATTACTTTTAGCACGTGTGTCATACATTATTTGTTACACAGCCTTCGCGACTTTCCTATTACTTTAATTCAAGTATGCGAATTACTTAATTGAGTACAGAGTTAATTAAGATCAGCTGTTGCTAATCAGACGAAAGAATTGTTTTCTTTGTTACATTCACAATTTATCTGAACATTTGTGAATCATCTCACTTCTCGCAGTAGTACTAAAAACTGAACTTTCAGCACGCTGTGCATCTCCTAAAGGTAACCGCTTTCACTATCGGCTATCTAAAAAAAATTAAGACTTTCAAATTAAACCAGCAAAAAATATTGATGTTATGTCATATGCTTTCTCGAATTTTCTCGAATTTCTATTCGTAATAGTTACGTAGCATTAAGTATAATATTATAACTCCTGCCCTACTAAACACTCCAAACATCTCTTCACTTTACCAAACTAAGAGCGGGATATTCAAGAAAAAATACCTTCAATACGTAAACACATTAGTATTAACGGAAATGGCACTACTCGCATTCAGCGTCCCAGTATTGTGCTCTATACTAAATATGTACATAATAAACCACCACAACAACAACTATCGATGGTTCACTTATTTTGTATTAAAAAGAAAGAAATATTTTAGTCCAAAAATGTATATTTATTTTCAAAACCTTCATTCGATCTCATTTGAGGAAAAATTGTCCACGAATGCAATAAAGTATAAAACATATTCGTAAAGTAAATATTAACAATAAACAATGTTACAAAATTAGTTTTTTTTGGACATTCCAAAACCCTACTCAAAGTGCGGAGTATATTATGTGATTTAATGCATTGGATTCTATCTGTACAAATGGTTTAAACCAAAAATTGTCTTCCATTTTGAAAAACTCTTCGGACAATATTTCCCATTTGAATCAAAATTACACAGTAACTACTAATATGATTATTTTAAAAAACACTGCGTGAAATCATTTTAAATTCTAATATTGAAGAACAGAGTGCATTAAATATACATTTCTATCTGTACTTTTGAAAGTGTGCAAACAAGTTTGGAAAAAATATACCTTTTGAATTTTTGAAATTTCAAAAATTCGAAAAATATACTCTTACATAGGCGCTTATTGTTCCAGTTTAGACAAAATGTAGTTAAAAATGTGAATCCTTTTTTTAAACAATTTTCGCAATCTGACTCAAACCTAAGAGATATAATATAAAAATCTGATTCATATAACACTAAATTTCATTAAGGAAAACCTCTAGACACTAGACTTCGCTACACTGGTTGTAGGATACGTTCGAAAAACATGTGACAGGGGCTTCATATGAAGTAGTATTACAAAGCATTTAAGGTTTTCCGTTTCATATTCACAGGCTCTGGGGTTCATCCACATCCATTTTGAGGAAAATACTATGCAAGTTTTAGGAGTCAGTGTTGATCACAAACATGTTTTTGATAAGAAAATAATACTAATAATCAGTAAATAAATGAAAATTCTGTATTTATATATAAAATGGGGATATTATCACAGAAACATTTGAAGCACGAATTCGCCAATATTGTTTTAAGTAGTGACAATAATGTTTTTGTAGCATTATGAACCAGGTTAAAAGTAAGTTCTTTTGACGGTAAACTTTGTAAAACAACAAGAGAAAAACAATCAAGCACACATAGTCACAAGAAAGATTAGTACTTTCCCTTAGTATCTTATTAACGAATAAAATGTCGGTTTCAAATAAAGGGTGGATCCTTTTCTGTCGTTGACTTTCTTCATCAAATAAATTTCAATGAAGTGTTATAGCTCTGCGTAACTAGAAATAACAGTAAAAGTATTAGGCTTGTCAAGATAGCAAAAGAAACTTATTTCTTCCCCATATGAGCAAGGAAATAGTACTGAAACGTCCAAAATTGTTGTTCTCGATATTTCAATACGAGGGACTCGTTTTGCGTAAAATTAACATTCCGGCATCAAACATCACTTTCGAGGAAACCTTCATAGCCTCTAAGTACATAGTACCATAGTACACTTCAGTAAACGTCAGTAGATTCCAACTCACGTGAAAAGGTAACGAAACGGATTGAGCAAACGATCCAGAAAAGACGAAAGCTGCCTCCTTAAACGATAATATCACGACGAGGTGTATGGTCAATCCGCTGTCGAAGGCACCCGAAGGCCCCGACACGCGGTCCCGCGCAGAACTGCTGCAGGCGATCGCGCGCGCGCGTGCGTCGTGGGCGGCGCGACAGTCCGAGCACGGTCGAGTGGGTGGGGAGGGGTGGGATGGGGTAGGAGGGGCAGAGGCGGCGATGCAACCGGCAGGCAGGCGGCGGTGACTCGCGATTTCGTGGGGGACAGTAGTCGCACGACCTCCCACTGCGACGCTCGCACGCGACTAGAAACGTCTGCATATCAATACATTCGTTATCACACGGAATTGCTTTCGAACCTGAGACAGCGGAAATGAGTGGGTGGCACAATACCGTTGTTATAACGCCGCGAACGAAGGTGGGCACAATTAAGAATACGATTACATTCACGGCAGTATACAGAAAGCTGATCACATTGCGTCAATGCGGTGCAGCCAGTTGTTAGCCGGGTGGCGAGTGAATGTCCGACGAAACAAAGTGCGACGCAATTGCGGCACTATAGTACGCTTTATTTAGTCGTACACTTGACGTACATCAGCTGTTGTGGTTTGATCCAATCGGGTGCTTATATGTCGCTAAAGTGTCGTTACTATGGGGATCTTCCCAATTGGATAAAACCGAGAACAGCTGATTTACGTCAAGTGCATGGTTACGTAAAAAACTTAGTATAGAAAAGGGAACTTTTGTTCTAAAATGTAATCAAATCACTTGCTTAGCCAAATAGCGAATAGTTTCGTTAGTACGCAATATTAGAAAGAAATTATATTCTGAGTTCAATTAATATATTCCTGCTTCTTATATAGTGGGTTCAGCCATTTCATTGATGTAATCTCCTAAGTAAAGTACACAATGTATTGCATAAGGCAATACGTTATCTGCCGAGTCTGTTACGGAATATATGAGGGGAATAAAATGGAATGTTTACGGTTTCCATAAAAGATACACGACTCAAAAGTAGGAAACAAATAGAATGAAATGACGATTGAATATGGCGTTAATAAAACTAAGGAGTAAAAGTGTAAAGAGGAAAACGCGCCGTTATTTTCGTTCGTAGACAACAGAAATATTTCTTTATAAAAAATAACCGAGTTTTCTTTATAAAAAAACTTAAATCTCTGCAAAGAGTTCCCCATTTTCCAATGGGCAATAAGCTGCATACATTTCATCAATTCCTGAATGTGCTGGCCCCGTTTATGTCCCCCTACATGTTTTCTCACATGTTCATCACAGGATCTCACGTGTTCTTTAAATGTTCTCTGTGTTTCCCAAAATGTTTTGCTGAAATGTTTCCCTTAAATGTTCTCCCAAAGTAATGCTTTGTGCATCAGCGCAGCCACTTTCCAATGCGGCGACAGAGAGAACAACACACACGTTTCACTTTTCATCTGATTCATGACCTTTTGCCCTAGGCACTTAAAGAAATTGACTTCAAAATCGGTAAGCGAGACGTGTATATAGCAATAGACGTTTACAATGTTATATTTATACCTTCATCCTATTTTATAATTCACAAATAAAATTCTGGATCTGCTTAGGTATATGTAAATGCAAAATCTAAGAGGTTCAATCGATGTTTCTTTGACTAATCAAATTATTTCAATATCGTACCTAACAGATTCATTTCATCTCTTTTTCTTCAAGAGTTCTCATCTCTCTCCAATATGATTGAGGCACTGCGCGAGCAAAGAAAGAGGCATAAAAGAACAAAATGAAACAGGCGACAACGCGTCGCCATGGCGACAGGTCGAAATTGCTGGCACATTTCTATTCGTTTATTGGACTCTAAACGCTGCTTTGTAGCGATCGAAGCGAAGCGGAGAGCAAGGAAGGCTCCATCTCACTTGACATTTTCCAAGAATGAAATTCCTCGTGCACCTCAAGAGTCTCTCAAGAGCACTCAATACATCCCGAAGAGTCCAACAAATGTGTGACACATTTCGGAGGATCAAGATATTGTCACACTTTTTTTCAGGAAGTGTGATGGCATCACAAAGAACGGTGCAGTAAATGTAAAGAGCTGTTGACTCCTACATACAATGTTAAAAGGTATTTTTTCACATTTGACCAGTAAAATCTCCCGTTTCAAAAAATTACTTTATATTATCTGAAGATTCGTTCTTTCGTCTCTGTGAATTATGAGATTCAGTCTTAAAATAAGTGCACAAAAAGCACATACTTTCTCTCATTATTTGTAAATTCTCCGCAATGTTAAACTACTGCATGAACATACGAAAGTGCTTCCAACCACCATTTTGTTCTGCGCCAAGACTCGATCTCCGGTCCCAACAATTAACACGCCGTACGCTATACCGCTGTACCAAGCAGCTTTGAAGTACTCACTAAGGCCGACGATTAAAAATCTAATTGTCTCTCCCAATTATTTCCAACGCGCAATTTTCGAATATTCACAATTCACTAAAAATGAGACCAGCCTCATCTTTTTAAGCATCCCTTGTTTATAAAATTAAAGAAAAAATATGATGCGGTTTTTGAGAAACTTCTTTTTTTATTAATTACATTGATTTCAAACAAAATTACGTGAAAACTACTCACTTGTTTTTCAAGGCTTCACG